AACTTTGTTGACCCTAAGAAAGCCTTCGACAGGGGAATCGCGGCGGACTCTGGAAATTCATGCAGAAATTCGAACGTCCTTAGCGCTTCATTCACATTGTGTGTCAGCTCAACGAAGGGATGATGTTGCGCGTCACTGACGACGGGACATATCCGAGGCTTTTGCAGTGAAATACAGCGTGAAGCAGGACTGCGTCCTCGTGCCTATCCTCTCGGGCTTCATGTTCGCTGCCATGTTGATCGACCCCCACCGGAATGAGCACCCAGGCATTGGCATCGCCTACAGAACTGATAGGCATCTTCTCATAATCCGGTGTAAGCGGGTCTCAACGCATGTATATACGACCTGCACTTCGCGTACCACTGCGCACTCAACATCAAAACAGAATGAGACATGCAAAGGAGCAAGAACCGCTTTGCTGCCAGTTGCGTTAAGTTTGGACTCACCATCGACACGAAAAAACGATGGTCACGCACCAACCGTCACCCATTGTTGACTACAATGTCCCCCGTATCGTTGCTATCGGCGTCGAGCTCAAAACTGTGAACAGCTTTGCCTATCTCAGAAGCACGCTGTCCCGCAAGACCAGAATCGACGACGAGATTGCTCACTAGATGCCCAAAGCTAAACAGGCCTGTGGCCGGCTGCAAGCCTCCGTACGGAATCGCCACGACCTCCGACTGCACATCAAACTGAAGTTGTACAAGGTTGTGGTCCTTACGAACTCCTGTACGAAGCGGAGTCCTGAGCCGTCTACGCCAACCAAGCTCGACAACTGAACATCTTCCATCTCAGGGACATCTGCAGAATACTGAAACTGAAATGGCAGGACGGGATCCCAGACGCAGAAGTCCTGGAGCGAATTGGAATCCTCGGCATCCACGCCATGCTAGGGCAACTTCAACTGCGAGGGAGTGGCCACTTGGCGAGAATGGATGACAAGCGACTACCTAAGCGGCTGTTCTACGGCGATGTCGCTGCGAGTGCCCGTCGACAGGGAGGA